GGTAGATCGATCGATAGAGACGGACCTGGGACCGGCGGCTGGGAGAGGGGGACCTGCAGGTTGGGAGGGGGGGGGGTTAGACAGATAGATAGACGGGCTCCCGTAAGGGGGGTTAGATAGATAGCGGGGGGGGGGGGGGTAGATAGCTAGATCGATAGATGGGACGGCTGGGAGATGGCGGGGACCGCAGCGGGGTGGGGGGGGAGATAGATAGATAGATAGACGCTCCCGTAAAATTAAAAGCCAAGAGGGGGCGGGAGGGTTGTAGATAGATAGATAAATAGACGGAGAGAAGGGCGGGGGGAAGGAGGGGGGGGGATAGATAAAAAGACAGACGGGCTCCCGTAAAATTTTTAGGCGGGGGGGGGGGGGGTTAGATAGATAGTGGGGGGGGGGGGTTAGATAGATCGATAGAAATAGACGGGCGGTGGGAGATTGGGGGACCCGCAGGGAGGGGGGGGGGGGATTGGATGGATAGACGGGCTCCCGTACAATTTGTTGCCAGAGCGGGGGGGTAGACAGATGGGTTGGGGGGGGGGGGGTTTAGATCGATAGATAGACGGGCGGCTGGGAGATTGGGGGACCCGCAGGGGGGGGGGGAGATAGACGGGCTCCCGTAAAATTGAAAGCCAAGAGGGGGGGGGTTAGATAGATAGATAGACAGACGGGCTCCCGTAAAATTTTAAGCCAAGAGGCGGGGGGGGGAGGTCAGATAGATAGATAGACAGGCTCCCGTAAAAATTTAAGCCGGGGGGGGGGGGGATAGATAGATAGATTTTACCTGACGGGTGGACCCTGGCAACCTCTATCCTCTAACCAGCATGTATCCGACAGAGGTTAGAGGATAGAGGTTAGGGGGGGTACATAATGCAGGGTTGCTGTGACCCTAAACCCTAAACCCTCAACCCTCAACCCTAAACCCTGAACCCTGAACCCTAAACCCTAAACCCTAAACCCTAAACCCTAAACCCTAAACCCTAAACCCTAAACCCAAACACGTGGCCTAGGGGCCCTTTTCCCTGGATCCCACAAGCTAAAAGCGCGAAGCTCGGCTCCAAGAGGCCTCCCAGGTTTAGGGTTTAGGGTTTAGGGTTTAGGGTTTAGGGTTTAGGGTTTAGGGTTTAGGGTTTAGGGTTTAGGGTTTAGGGTTTAGGGTTTAGGGTTTAGAATATAGGGTTTCATGTGACCCTGGGTCGGCCCCTGGCTGGTAGGGGTTTAGGGGTTTAGGGGTTTAGGGGTTTAGGGGTTTAGGGGTTTAGGGGTTTAGGGGTTAAGGGGTTTAGGGGTTTAGGGGTTTAGGGGTTTAGGGGAAAACTGGCCGTTTTCCCGTCTGAGCCTTGGCTCCAAAAAGGGGCCCCTGCGGTGAGTCGGTGCTGTCAAAACTGGTCGGCAAACAGACTCTGACTGTACATGAGTGCTGTAGCTTTTACCTAACAGGCTTCGTACGCGCTGGTCTACGAGGACTATTTCACACCCGTGACTCTTCTGGCGTAGAAGCCTGGCCTGTACAAGGTCCAAACGAAGAGTGGATCTAATCCATCACTTCCAGCCCGTCCGCAGGGTCTGCAGTCTTCCTTCTCTGAAGCTGCTTAGCCCTTTTCTTGATCACGGACTCAATCGGCTGCTCGACTTTCAAACAGTTAGTGAACAAACACTCAACTAACTTGGTACTCTCCATGACTTTTGTCAGTGGATCTGCTACCATGACGTCTGTGTCGATCCAGCGAACTTCGTCCGTTGGCTCTTCTGGACGGTGGTCCTGATAATAAGGATCGCCGTATTGTTCTCCCTTTGCTCTCCATAGGGATTCTCGCATTGAGGCGATCTCGATAGAGAGTCGCTTATCCTCATGCTTGCTCATCTTAGGGTTTCGGAGCGTGTCACTTAGACTACGACAATCCGTAAACCACACCTGCCTCATAAACGCCGCAGAAGATGCTTCCCACTTCTTGCGGTCAAGTTTGCCGAAAAGATCTGCGACGGCAGCTCGCAGTCTATCGCCTTCTTCAACCCCTGCCTGCAGGGTATAGGCTTCGCCTTGCAGCGTGGATCTACAGACCCTACGCACTTTCCTTGAGGCGTAACTGATGAGGTGCATATGCCCTTCATCTGATGAGATCAAACTGGGAGTTCCAAGGGCATTCAACCTAGCTCCTTGGCTTCGGTAAGGTTCCACAGAATCCTCACCTTTGACCTTCATCACCTGACTCTCATTTGCATGGCTGGCGTCAGTGATGACACACGAAATAAGATTGTCCCAATCCAGAACGTTTGCTCTGAAAGTCAAACCTCTATCCGGCGTCGCTAACGCATAGTCGACGGCTTTGTTCGCCTCTCGAAGGTCTGCTACAATTCCTCCTGCGCTAGCGGACTGCATTCGACTTACTCGATATGCTAAGTCCGGACGACATTGCCTCGCCACCCAAGACAGACTTCCCGCTACGCTTTTTAGCTGTAGCTTGTCTTTATCAGTCAAGGGCTCACCGGATTATAGGGCTATAAAAATCCTCCTGACTTTCAACGTCGTTTCTTTGCAGGTGACAGTGATGGTGTATATAATCATCTGCCTGGGAAACTTCCTTCCCACAGTAACGGAAAGTTTTTCGCTCTACTTTTCCGCACGAAAACTCCTTCAGCAATCCCTCGATGACAGGCTCTGCTTCTGGCTCGGCCGCCCACAGCAGGTCATCTACGTGTGTGCAAAGTAGCGCAATAATACGTCCCTCGTTGTTGCGGAGAACATAAAGTGCTTTGAAAATGGCGTTTTCCAGAAAACCTCTTTTCTGCGCACTGGTCTTGAGACGTTTCCAAAACTTACGTCCTCCGTCATGAGTCCCGTACACGGGTACCCTTGCCAGAAACCTTCGCTCTGGGGGCTCCCCTGGGAGTCCTCCCTTTGGCTGTCTGAGGATTAGTACTCTGTCTAATTCCTCTCCTTGAAAATAGGCATTCGTGATGTCGGCTGAGCCTATTCTCACCTTCCGCGAAGCGGCGAAGCTGAATATCAAATTCTGAGCTTCGATATCTGCCGTCGGAGAATCCGATCGGATATCCCCCGACTCCAAATCTCCTCTGGTGACGAGTCGACTTTTACGCCGTACTTCAATATCTGGTTGCGTGCCTCTAAGTGCATCGTTCTTATCTGTGTCAACCCACTTGAGCGGTACTTCCTCATGGCCTTCATCTTTAAGCTTCTGGTACTGCTCTTCATCGAGATCAAGTGCAGCGTTAAACTCTTTCCACTTGTCCCATTCAACCTTACGGGATCCGTCGATTCCCTTTTGCAACTCTGGTGAACACTTTTCGTACGTGAACACCTTGTTCTGCGCAGCTTTCTTCTTGTTAGAATAGCTGCTCCTTTTCTTCAACCACTTTCGGGCGCTTTCTGAGTCTATTCGATCGGCCACAAAAGCTCTATACTTGTTCCACTCTTTCGATCCACACGTGGGAATCTTAAACTGTGCCAATAAAGCATCAGCGGTGTCCTCTTCTTCGGGAACCGGAATGTCCGCCGCGTCAAGTTGCGGATCATTCTCTGCTACGGCTTCCACCGTAGGCTCATCCATCTGTTGAGCGTCTTCTACTTCGGGTTCTTCTATCGTGGGCTCTACACGGGGCTCTGCCCGTGACTCTTCAGGAGTAAGTCCCACTCTCCTTCTCACTGTCCTCAATCATTCCAAAGGATTTGAGCGTATGGCAGAAGACGGACGTGCAGAGTCACTGTCCTCTTCATCATCTGCATCACTGTCGTGCGCTCGCGCATCGACAAATCGCTGCTGCTCTCTCTCAGATTCTAGGTGTTCGTACTGTAAGTTGCCTTTACTCAAAATCTGATAAGCTAGAACTTCCGCCGAAGTACACGGTCGGAGTTTGCCTAAACTAGTTGCTACGGGCACGCCTCTGCGCGTTACCCAGACGGTCTTCCCATCAAAACCAATGATGCGGGAAACTCCACTCCAGCTAGGCACACCGCTCGAGTCTCTTTCGATCCGGTAGCACACCAAGTCTCCTGCGGAGTACTTGCCTGGTAGTGGTCCCGACTTGCGCAGCACGGCGGCTCTAGCTCGCCTTGAAGTATCTGCCTGTACATACGCTCTTCTCGCAGTGTGGCGGTACTCTATGCTGCGTCCAAATGCTGTGGAGGGGTCCATCGCTCCACTGAGTACTCCTAGCTGACCTAGCTCATCCTCATCCAAGAGATGTCCTATGCCTCTAGGCTGCCTTCCAAGTACCCATTGTGACGGGGAAAATCCTCCGTGTCTCACAAATTCATTCTTGGCAACTTGACATTCTGTCATAGCTGCTTTCACCTGTTCTTTACCTTGCAGGTGGTGCTGTCTGCACACTCTTCGGTAGGCTCTTTTAATGATACCTCCGTGCCTTTCACACCTCCGTGCCTTTCACATCTTCCGATGTGTTCTGGACTTTCAAGACCGGCTTGCCTCAACACAACGCCATGTTGCGAAAGTCCGGTTGCAAATGCACCGCGATTGTGCAATCCCCGATCTGTTGAAACAGATTCGGGCCATCCAGCCCATTGTACCCAGTGTCTCTGGAATTTTTTCAAACACTGCGCGCTGGTAGGTTGTCCTTCTCCTACCCTGACCAACGCAACAACTTGGTAACAAGTACCTACACATATCATGTTAAGAAACTGATATTGGGTTCTGTCCGAATCCTGAACCTCGAACACATCAATTGAAACTTCCTTGTTAAAAACATAGGAAGGTGGTGCGGAAACAGGGTGAGTCTTCGGGATCTCTTGTGAAACAGCACATGTAGGGCACCTGAATGCTTTCGCCGCCCTAATCATATCGTCCGAAGCTCCTGAACCTCTCAAAACCTGCAACAAAACTTCCTTCGGCTTGAGTGACATCATGTTGTGAAGTCGCCTAATTGCGATCCTCACCTTCCTAGGAACCTTAGCCCACTCCCTACGCCTTTCGGCCTCATCCTTAGGGAAACCGGCGAGGGGTAAGGTATCCAACAAGTCATCTTCATGATCTTGCATCGGGTCGACAAAGTTGAGGTCCAAACCTTCAACATCCTCCCCTAAAGGAACAGTGTCAAGAGTACCCAACTCCATATGATCTTCAATCAAAGCTTCAACAGGGAACGCAACATGAAGATCGTGATCATGAAGAGTCTCTTCCAAAACATCAACAATCAACCGACTGAAACCTTCGTGAGTGTGTATCGTGTCAATGCTTATCGGGGCATAGTAGCGACTATGGTCCTGACTAGCCCACACAGAAAGGGTCTCTCCCAAGCCTTGGTCACTAGTGCCTATACAAAGGTCACCTCTAGCGTAGTAAAGTTCAAAACTTTTACTGTCGTCCCTTTCCAAACCTTCCAAATCTTTCCACCTAACTGAACCCACTTCGTCTAAAACGCAAACGCACCTTTCACTCTGCGAGAGCAAGTCCTGTAGCCACTCCGAGGCGGTCTCTGAGAGCTGCTTAGTGCAGTCTCCCGGAAACAAAACTAAGAGTAGGTGTGGGTGAAACGATTGGATCTGTTGGGACACTTTATGCCTCCAACTCGCAGTCTCATACCCGGCCAGATCTGGTCCGGGGTCTGCTGCTTTCATTCGGCCTCTTCAAAAGGTCCGAACCATTGCCCAAGAAGGAATACCTTTCTTGGTTCTTCAGGGGTCGTAAACGATCCCCTCAACTCCTTCCATAGCAGCGAATCTCGCTTGCTCATTTGTCGAGAGCCTTTCTCAAAGGTCTCTCTTTCCTTTGTGCCCATTACAGGCGCTCCAGGGTACATCGATGGCGTGGAGTAGTAGGCAGAGCAAAACTGCGAACCATCGTATACCTCACTTTCGTCAAAGAGTCAGCTATGATTCATTCTCTGGGCGCACAAAACAATTGCTACCCTGTACGTTTTCTCGCTGAACTCCTGAACGTGGGTTGGCCACTCCCATCGCTCTGCCCAAGACCAGTCGCCACCTTCCTCGCGCTGAACGAACGTGTTCTTGTACCAGTTCTTCAGCTCGGGCGCGACCTTCGTGGCAGTGTTGTAAGTGCCCGTTTTAAGGGTCACTCTCACAGGCCCATTCTTTTCCTTCGGGCCCTGTACCCACAGCATTAGCACCGGCTTCTTCGAAGTCCGAGGGTCTCCTTGCCACATCTGGTCAAGGTAAGCTGAGGTGATCTCGCTTGGTAAGTTCGGATCAATCCCCATCCAGCAGGTCTGACCTCGCACGCTCGTGGTCCTGGTCGTTCCTCATACGACGCTGCTGGCTTTCGCGAGACTCTCGCGCGTCCCTACGCTCCTGATACTCTCTGGCCTCCTCTTCGCGGCTCTTGCGTGGTGTGTTCCGGACGTCTCGACGATCGTCCCAATGCCACTTCTTCCTAACTGGGGTTGCGCTTCGCCCATACCCCCGGGCGCTCCTGGATCGGGGATTATCCCTCGATCCTGCGGCAGCTGAGCCTAGACTGCGGCCCCGCATATGCTGTCTCGCACGTCTCTGGTGCCGAAGTCAGGCGTCGCCTCGTCGAGCTCCTCAACCGACTTCTCGAGGTACTCTGCGTTGAAACCCTCGATGTCCAGTCTACGCAAACGTAAGACTGCTTCGAGGATCTGGCGAGCTTGCTTCTCGTCCAGATACTTGCGGGCGACCGCACCCATAGCCAACACCAAGCTGTCCGAATACTTGCGGATCAGCGTATCCGGCTTTGTCAGGGCGTCCGGTTGAAAAACCTGGACGATCCTGTGGATGAAAATGTACGCGATGCGCTCCAAGTCCCGGCGGTCTTCCTCGATCAAATCGGAGAAGTCGTGGTAGTGTTCTGGGACGCCACTGGTTCCCAACAAGTCGTCATCGGAGCTCGCTGACGAGTCTCCGGCCTCCGCCTTGCTGGCTCCTTTCTTCGCGCTCGCGTTTGCTGCATGCGTCTTCTTCTTGTCTTTCTCGGTGTCCTTGACATCCGTAGAGGTCGAAGCCTTTTCTTCTTTCTTCGGCGTGCCTCCGTCCTTCGGCATCGCCTTTGGCGTGGCCCCCGTGCCGGGAGTCAGTTGCTGATCTCCCTGCTTCGGGGCGGACGAAGAAGGTGTAGAGGCATCACCCCTCCCGTCCTTTCGCACCCAAGTTCCTGTTGGTGTGCGACTTCTTCCTTTCGCTGGCGCCCTTGACGGGTCGAAGAAACCTTTCCACTGCTTGATGACGTAGGACTCCATCTCCTCAAGGATCTCCTTGTCGTCGCTCTCGACATGCCTGCATCTGGTGCAGCCTTGGCATGTTTTATGCCAATTGACGGTTCTCGACACGTCCAAATACTCAGCGCAGATGCCATAGACATTCTCCAGGACGACCTGCACAAGGTGCCTCAGGGCTACACTCCTGTGCTTTCCACCAGTGCACAAGAAAAGGATGATGATCTTGTCACCATCTTTCGATCGTCGGATAATCCGATCGATCTGCTTTGCAATTTCTTCCCAAAGGGATAGAAAAGTCTTGCTGTAGACGGTGTGGCGCAGGTTCTCCGGGTACGTCCCGATATGATCCCGGTACTTCTTCGGGTCTGGGATGTCCCTTACATCCAAGATCACCAGGTGATCGTCCGATTTCACTTCCTCTGTGATAATCGGGTAGTTCTTCCTCAAACTTTTCTTCACCAATTCAAGATTCTTCAGAAGTGCGACCGAAAATCGGTTCGCGTGGATTTTGTCCACTGCGTCGGTGAGTTCCTTACTCACTTTGGAACTTTCCGCGCCTACGTCTAGCGTCCACACTCCTGCCGACATCAAAACGATGTTCGGCTTTGTATCGGCAATCATGTAGGCTCTCTGAACCGGTGAGGCGCTTCTCAAGGCCATAACGGTCCTTGAAGGTGACTGGTGGCTTGCCTTTGCAATCTCGGTCACCAGCCCAATGCCCTTTCTTCCCGCACGTGCGACAAACGCTACGTGCCTTGATCTCCTTGAGCTTCGCTTTGCGGTCTTCAATACTCAAACCGCTGGGCTTGGGCCTGTAGCCGTGGGCATGCTTTCCCATCGGCTTTCCTTTGCCTTTCGCTTTGGAGCGAGCAAAGAAAGCACAAACCTCAGCCTGACAAGCTGAAGCAAGGAAAGCAATACACTCATCATCATCCAGACTAAAGTCTGGTGTCGAAAGGAATGCTTCAACAACATCCAGCTCTATCTTCTCGGCTGTTGCCTCTCCAAGGGAATCAGCCATGAAGGCTGAACTGTCCTGTTCATCAGGTACCAGCTCTTCTTCCTCTGCCTCGGGATCCCAAAAGGATTCCCCGGCGTCGTAGGATTCGAAGAGGTCCTCAGGCTCTGCCAGATAGGCTGCCCCATGGTGAGTCTGGGCATTCGCCTTTCCTTTGCCAGAACTCTTTGCTCCCTTGTAGGCCATGCCTCTGGGGCGATTGTAGTTGCTTGCACCCTTGCCCGAACTTCGGGACTCCAGAACATGCAATTTTTCATGTTGAGTAATGAGGGCTTTCTCGATCGCATCAAAAGAAGACGTTTCCCCGACAGCTGTAAGCACCATTAGTCGCTCCTTGCGATCTAATCCAGAGTTGTCGAGTAAAAGATCTCCAAGGATGGTATCGGATATCTCTATCGTCTTGTCCAACTCCTTCAACTTTCTGTACCATCTCTTTCTTCGCCCGATATAGGAGGTCATGGACTCTCCTGCTTGTCTTGACATCACACCACCAACGCTGGCCCCGACTCGGTAAAGTTCCTTTGCCTCTTGGGCCTGCAAAGAAAAAATTACCTTACGCACAGCATCGATGATCTGCGTGATCGCGTCGGCGCTCTTCAGTACGTCGTGCCCCAAGTCCTGGGCAACGATGTATGCGTCCCCCCGAAGGGACTCCAGCAACTTTGCACCAAGAGTGAACCTTTCATCCGCCTTCGTAGCGTGGTACTTCGCCATCGCCCGAAACTCCCATTCATAGTAGTCCGAAACGGATCCACTATACACCAAGAAACCTTGCTTTGTCAGCTCGGGCTCCTGGTTGCTCCGAGGGTTGAATCGCAATCCCCCGCCAGTGGCCATGACACGCTGGCGGCTATCGCCTCTAGGGCGAACGAAAAAGGTGAAAAGAGCACTGGCCCCTGAAGGGCACTGGCTCCGCTACCAGTGTGAAAACTGGCCGTTTTCCCGTCTGAGCCTTGGCTCCAAAAAGGGGCCCCTGCGGTGAGTCGGTGCTGTCAAAACTGGTCGGCAAACAGACTCTGACTGTACATGAGTGCTGTAGCTTTTACCTAACAGGCTTCGTACGCGCTGGTCTACGAGGACTATTTCACAAGGGGTTTAGGGGTTTAGGGTATCAGCAGGGTTTAGGGTTGAGGGTTTCGGATTTCGGGTTTAGGTTTTCGGGTTTAGGGTTTAGGGCTATCCGTTGAGCTGAGCCGCGGCAAATCGAAAGGCGTACATCAGACTGAAGCGGTGCGGATGGTGGTGATGTCCGCGGGCACGTCCCTTTGGACGAAACATAGGGCGGCTTATCCAGCTACTCTGTAGGGCTTAGGGCTTAGGGTAGTATGAAAGGGGGCGAAGGGGATCTACGCATGCTTCAACTTTGCTGAATCAGGCCCTGAACCATAAACAACTTTTGGCCCGAAACCCCACACCCGAGACCTCAACCCTAAAACCCTAAAACCCTAAAAACCCTAAACCCTAAAACCCTAAAACCCTAAAACCCCAAAACCCTAAAACCCTAAAACCCCAAAACCCCAAAACCCGAAAACCCCTAAACCCTAAAACCCTAAAACCCTAAAACCCTAAACCCGAAACCCTGAACTCCCTGTGTCGGAACTGGCCTTGTGCAGCACACCGTCAATTTCCTTAGTGGCCGCAAGGTGTTAAGGCTACTGGCCCAGCATGAACCCCGAAACCCCAAACCCTAAACCCTTAACTTGCAACCTAGGGAAAAAACGGGTGCCCCTTTTTGGTTTAACGGGGCTTGTAAGGGAACCCAAACCCTAAGAAAAGGAATAAGGGCCTACCATGAATCCCAGAAGCTGTAGGTGCAATCCTAAAAGGAGTGGCAAGCAAACGCTTGATTTTCTACCCTGGCCCTAGCCCACAAGATGTTTTCATCTCCACAGACGAACCAGATTTTGCTATGGGTACTCTTTTGGGTGTTGGTTTCTGTTTGGAATGTTCTTGCTGATACGAACAGTCCTTAACAGGGATTCTAGTACGCCCAATTAGAATCCCTATCAAGGGCTGTTAGTATAAGGGGAATATCCCAAGTTACCATTATGCCTTTCGGTTCCCCCCATAATTAAGGCTAATGAGGGATAACTAAGCCTAATTAGGGCCATTCAAGGGGGGAACGCGGGGGTGGGGTACAGTTTCGAGGGGTAGGAGAGAAACCCATGAAACAAGAGCCTGCGCCGACCTACCCTAAACCCTAAACCCTAAACCCTAAACCCTAAACCCTAAACCCTAAACCCTAAACCCTAAACCCTAAACCCTAAACCCTAAACCCTAAACCCTAAACCCTAACCCTAAACCCTAAACCCTAAACTCATCAGGGATTCGCTACAAATTGCCAGCCAAAGCGTCTGTCTGTGCATCCCCCTTCTCTCCCTCCTCCTCCTCATCCGAGTCTCCTACGTTTTGTCTCAAGATGACTTTAGGGTTTAGGGTTTAGGGTGTAGGGTTTAGGGTTTGGGGTTTAGGGTTTAGGGTTTTGAATGTCTGCCGGGATTTCCGAACCCCGCAACCCGGCACACCAAATCACCAACCCTATACCTGCAACACCGCGCCGACATGAGGTAGGGTTTCATTGCGGATATCTCAAAAAACGCCTTATATATATATATATATGAATCTTATATACCCTCACCAATAGAACCCTACGCACACCCACCTAAAACCACCATAAACACACTGGCTTATACGACCTCATCCCTTCGGCTGGCAACCTGAACACGAATCCTCCCAAAAGCTCCCTCGTTCGTTCAGCTAGGTTCCCAAATAAACCTGGGCCAATAGAGTTTAAGGTTTACGGTTTGGGGAACATGTCCAACCTACTGTACCCCAAACCCTAAACCCCAAACCCTAATGAACCCCTAAACGCTAAACCCCGTCGTGGCCTCTAACCCCTATAATAAACCCTGAACATGCAGTCAGGGCTTCAGATTCAAGCTTCGAGGTTCGGGGCTTGGAGCTTTAAACCGAAACCCGAAACCCGAAACCCTAAACCCTGAAA